AACACGATTTCCATATTTTTATTATAAAATATATGTGTACATAGGCAGCCATAAAAAATTAGAAATGTTAGTTAATGGTGGTTACCTCTCTGGTAGAATACTTATTTTCTGCCCACATTGGAACACATAAACAAAATAGTCTGATTTTTTAAAATGATCATCATTAATGTACTCAAGAACCAGGAAGCCACTGACGGTTCCTGTTCCCATCCCAGACAGACCTGACACAGGCTAGCTCTGTCCACTGCCCATGACCCACGCACCTGCAGGGCTTCTAGCTTTTCCTGCTGCTGGCGAATTTTCTCTGTCAGCTGCTTCTGCTTCTCTTCTTGTGTCTTCAGGTCCTTTCTGAATGTCCCCAGGGGAACCTTCTGCTTCTGTTCAGAAGCCTCACATCTGTAGAAAAGAGGGTGTTAGGGAGGTTGTGGCAAAACAGGGCCCTAAGTAGGACACAGTCCTTCCTCTTCAGCCAACCCATGCTGTCTCTCACAACAGCAACAACCTCAGGGTTCCCAAATGTATAGAATTAATACTCACTGCAGGACAGACATCTATTCTTATTTCCAGGGCACTTACTATTTGCAGCAAGACAGAGATGTGAGAATATCAGCACTGACCTCAAGATGCACAGCAAGTTATTTACCCAAAGGGTAGGGAGAATATAGTGAGGAGAGAGGAGATACCCACAATCTCCTTGTTAGAGCAAGTGCTCACCGGTCCTGCTCAGGATCAGGGTTCATGGAGCAAACCCAGGTGTCAGGGTAATCTTTTTCCACAGAACTCAGCTGGAAGGGGAGGGTTCGCCACTTCAGACACAAATCTATGACACAGAAAACACCCCCACAAACATCAGCCATGTCCCATAATATCTTTAGTAAACAGGTTCCTCTCAACCAGGCCGAAGGCAAAGATACCCCCGACTTTCCATGGCTACAACTCTGCCTTCCTTACACAATGGTAATTCTTCTCAGGGACAGTGATTCCAGCAAGAATAGACACTTTATATCATGGACTTTCAATGTTCCCAGCCTCTCTCCCTCCTCCACCAGGATCCTGGCTCAATCATCAATCACACCATTAACAATGGGGTACCAAACCAAGTGAGGCCTGGTAGGTTAGACACCTTCTGCCTCATTCAGGAGGGACAGGTGGGACTTGACACAGCCCCAAGGCTGAGCTCCCAGGCCCATCACCAAACAGACTCATCCCCAGTGGGACCCAAAGTCCATGAATGTCAGTCAAGTCAGGAGGCCAGCAAGGGGTCAGAAAGAAGAGGGTCATGGATTATGGTGGAGAGTCAGGAGGAGGTTCCGACCACCAGCTCACCACACTGGATGGTGGTTGGGATTTCCATAGCTCTCCGGCGCTTGTAACGTAGATCGCTGGATGGGGGCTGGTTCCAGTTGGCAGAGAGGTAGCCAAACTCATCCCAGAACTTGATGATTCCCCTCTGGGCTGGAAAGGAAACACCCACACATATTAGGAGCCAGCCTTTCACTCTTCCTAAATTTACATCCTTGGGCACTAAGGGTATTCTATGGTTGGAAGTGAACAGAAAGGGAATTACCAATGGCAATGTCCTTCCAATACTGTGCCAGGTGCTCCCCCATCGCCCGCAGCAGGTGCCGGTACTCCTTAGCATCAGCAAAGTCCTGCTTGTTGTGTGTAGGTTCCAGGACCAGGTAAGGCACATCAACAACCCCAACAACCCCACCGCATGCCCTGCAGGGAGAAAAAAGACACAACTCTGTCACCCCACTGGCCCACTGCCTTGGGCTGAAAAGCTCTCCTTGGGCAATACTCACATGCCCCCTTCCAGCTGTGGGCCCACTTTTTCATACATCTTGATCAGGCGGCTACAGTTATAGATGAACATGCCATCCAGGTCCCGGTGCTCAATGTTGACCCCAAAAACAAAATTCAGTTCTTTAGGTTCTTTAAGTGCTCTGAGAAGACACAATATAAATTTAAGCAGATCAACCCATGAATACACAAACACCATGTTCTTGAAGATATGTTAGCTTAAGCTTAAACTTGAGACATGTTAAGGAATAAGTTTTGCATTTCCAGTCAACGTGTAACCCATCAGACTTGGTAGGGAGATGGTACTGTGCAGTGACTCTAAGCATCCCTAATTAAAAGCATGTGACTTTGCCTAGCTTCTGGTAACAAAACAGGGACGTTAAGATTTAAGTATGAATGGAATACTGTGAAGCTGCTGCAAATCTCTGTGAAGATAGTTACATGGTGGACTAAACACAAGATCATACCTACTCCACTAATGTGACAGTAATAAATTTTAAAAAGGTAAAAATTCACTAGAACAATGAACACGTATGTGAGGGAAGAGACCCTCATGTGATAAGTAACAAAATCATGGAGCTGAAAAGCAGATGGATGAGCAGCACACTCACTCAGAAGAATCCAAAAATGTATGCCTGTGGCAGGAAGGCCAAGAAGCAGCAACCCAGGAATTCAATGTCCAGAGCCCCAAGAAGCTCCAGACATAAGGTGGGACACGGAGATAATCTAATCAGTCAGGACAAGTGCCCATTCTAGATGAAAAAGGTCCAAAACTCAATCTACAGCATTACTCCACATTTGTAACCAGGGATAAAATATTAAGAGTAGATATTACCAGATGGTACAAATGTAAGGGAGTTTTAAAATGATATTTCTAAAAATGATGTTTTACTAGTTTTATATAATAAGCATTTTATATATCCTTTAAATGAAAAGGAGAAAAAAGAAAAAGAGAAAAAAGAAGAAAAGAGAGAGAAAAAAAAAAAAGAAGAAGAAAGGGAGAGAGGGTAGGAAGAAAGAACGGGAGTTGCCAGGAAGGGAGGTCTACCAGGGAGTGGGCCCACCCTGCCTTTTCCTAGCTCAGGAAAAAATCTGCAGTGGGCATTTGACAAGCATTTGGGGTCACATCAATGGCTCTCAAAGCAATCTTTGTGACAGAATAGCGACCTCACAGGGTGGGGAGGGATTCCTTAAGCTCTTTAATTTTGACTATAAAAGCTACATAATTTTAAAAAACCAAAAGCCAGGGACACGTCTGGGTGGCTCAGTTGGTTAAGGGTCCTGGGACCGAGTCCTGCATTGGGCTCCTTGCTCAGCGGGGAGCCTGCTTCTCCCCCTGCCTACCGCTCCCCCTGCTTGTGTGCACTCGCATTCTCTCTCTGACAAATAAATCTTAAAAAAAAAACAAAAACAAAAAACCCAGCCCTGGCACTCACCGCTGCTTGGCCTCCTTGATCCGCTTCTTAACATCAGCTTCTCTGCGCAGGGTAATGGCTGTGTTCTGGACCTGCCGCAACATCACCTGGAAATGTACGTTGGCACCAAGTGAGGGGAGGAGGCGCTCTGGACCACAGCAGGCAATATTATAACAAACATCTGAAACTTCTCACTTTAAATCACATGGAATCAAAAACACACTCTGAGATTTACTTCTTTTCTACAGAAAATGGCCTTGATGGGGACAAACTCAAAAGCTATGCTTTACCTGACCAGGCTGAAATGAAGGAGGAAACACCCCCAAATGAAATAATAGTGTCAGACAGAGGGGTAGAGAACTGCTCAGACTCCTTCACTACTGTGTGTGACCTGGGGCAAGTGACCATCTTCACTTCAATCTCCCTTTCTATAAACTGAGAATACTAACAGTGGCCACTCCATATGGTTGTTAGGATGTTGAAATGATTAGCTAAGATTCTACCATACAGTGTGTTCAATAATGATTATGGAAACACCTTAATATCCATTTTGCAGCTTTAGGGTAAGGAGTTCATGACTAGCCTGGGGCTGAGCCAGGCCAGCTCTGGGATCCTAATGCCAGAAATGCTAGACAATAGCTGCTCAGATCTGGGGCCTTACCCTGGAGTCCCGTGTGAGGTCTCCACCTAGGCGAACTTCTAAGGTCCGAGCTTTGCTCTCTGCCTCCCGTGCCTTCTCCTCAGCTGAAATCCAGAAGAAACCATGAATAAGGAATACAAAGGTTCAAAAACTCTTAATCATCCCTCCTGAATCCCAGTGTAGTACCCGCTGGGCAAGATGTGTGTACACTGTCAAGGAACAGGAGAGCTGGGAGAGCAACCTCCAACCTCCCTGCCTGGAATGCAGTCAGTACAAAAAGGAAAATCCTTTTGTTTGGAGGTCCCAAACAAAACAGGCACTATTTATACTTGAGACATGTTTTTTAAACTTTATAAATGAACCAGAACAGGTCAAAAACTGCCCAAGGTAACCAGAGTTACATCCTCAGCAGGAGCTGGAAGTTATCCAAGTCCTCAGCCAATCACTCTCCATCAAGCAGCCAAGAAGCCCTGTCAGCATGAGAGACCTTGAGATGTTTGCCCTGGAGTCAGGAAAACCAATTTCACAAATATTTGGGCCAAAGAAAAGTGTGAGATTCTTCACTCTGAGCAAGCCAAGGAGTTGACACTGTTTTAGGTAAGTCCCTATAAATGGCTGATGAAGAGAAACTAGAGTCTGGGAAGAAAAACTGCTGAGAGGATTGGCATGCAGGTATGCAAAAGGAACTAGACCCGTGGTTCAGGAGAACAGCCTGCCCCTGGGTGCTAGACAGAGCTTTTTTTGGATCCTGCTTTGGCCACGACAAGTATCCCCCAGACAATCCCAACCTGATCCCCCCTCCTGCCTGGGGGTGGGGGTGGGGGGTGCACATTACCAATCCGTGCTACATGCTCAGCTTTCTTCACCTCCTGCTCTGCACGAGTCTTGAAACGGCTTGATGTGTACTTGTACATCCTTAACAGGGGGAAAAAGCAACCTGAAGACCCAAGCAGCAGCAGGGTTGGGCAGCAACCTGAGCAACTCAGGAATACCCTGCCTTCCTGCTCCCTTCCAAGCTGCACTGTACTCATGATGAGTCAAAAACAAACTTTTTTTTTTTTAAAGATTTTATTTATTTATTAGAGAGAGAGAGCACAAGCAGGGGGAGCAGCAGGCAGAGGGAGAAGCAGACTCCCCACTGAGCAGGGAGCCCGATGCAGGACTCGATCCCAGGACCCCGGGATCATGACCTGAGCCAAAGGCAGATGCTTAACGGACTGAGCCACACAGCCGCCCCCAAAACAAACTTATTGTAGCAAAATACCCAATTCCTTACTCCACTTGCCCCTTGCTCCATCTTTGATAAGCAATCGCACTACTCACCAGGTGTATCAATAATCCCACAGCAGAAACAAATCTCAGCAATCAGCCAGGGCCTTTGCTCTCTCCTGTGTAGTGTCTAAAGGCCCCTTGGCCCTGAAGCTGAGAGGCTCAGACCGTTCACTGTGCCAGGCAGGATACCCTCCATGTCACAGAAGGCACTCACACTCAACAAGCTTCACCAGCCAACCTCCACAGCTCATCAACCATCTGTGTCCCTCCCTCAGGACTTAGAAGTTTCTATGCAGTAAATCACAAGTAGCTTAAAGGCCCAAATGCAGTCAACACTGTCAGAGCCTCTTATCATCACTCCTAGCATCACTCAAACAATGCCCCCGAGAAATACAGCCACGGCCCCATCCTCAGCTCAAGGGAACAGCAGACCAGGGTGGGCAGACCCCTACCTGGGCTTATATAGGCAGCAGGAAAGCCTCTTGGTCTGCACCTTGTGCCCATGGATGAAGATCCGCATCCGGGGATCAATATAAAGCACGGCAGCATAGGCACGGAAGGAGCGCCGCTCTGGCTTCCTAGAGGTGGCAGGAATAGAGGAGTGCTATCACCCACCCCACAACCAGCTTGACCAAAGATATGAAAGGACAGCCTTTCTGCAGACCCTCCACCTCACATGTTGGCTTTTCTCACCACCCTGAAGGGCTGCTCCCTCAGTGTGGGGAGCACACCCTTCACATCCCCAGCACAGGCACTCCACAGACATCGGACCCCGCCTTACCACTGGCCCCACCACAGACCCAGCAAAACCCATCCTGTCTCTAGGCTCGGCTTCCAAATCAAGGAGTTGGGGCAAGGAATCAAGGAGTCGGGGCAAGGGACCATTAATCTTTTCTTTTGGCTTAGCTGAGGAGCTGCTGTCCTATTCATCCTTCTGTTTGTGGTAAGAAAACGTGGAGTGCTCAGCTTCATCAACTCCAATACTGGGAAATTCAGGGAATAAGCCCCACCCCCCCTTCGCTATTAAAGTCACCTCCTGAGCTTTCTCTCCCTGAGAAAATGGACCACCAGTTCCAAGCCTTCCCTCCCTTCCCAGCCACACTCACGTGCCCTCTGGGGAAGTCTCTGCCATCTGGATATCTCTTGGATTTGAGATTATGTCTAGCTCTGGCTCTCCATTATCCATGAGTTTGAGATTGAAGATGATCACCAGTGTTCCTGGGAAACAAATCCTCCTTTTGTCCTGCCAGGCACCACCTGATCATCCCCACACCACTCATGGCTCCTGGATTCTAGGGCCTGTAAGCTCAAGTCTACTTACCACTGTCTCCAGGAATCTTCATGAACTGAGTCATAACTTCCTCTTCATTGCGGAAGGGAGAATACTTGTAGATGAGTTCTGTCTCGATGGCAAACTTCTCCACGTTGTCTGTGACAGGTTCCCGGGTCCGAGCATTCCAGGTGGGCAATGGGACTATCACCTTTGGAGAAAGCACGGGCAGACACTTTGAGGGAAGACCCAGAATAGCCTTCCCCCAAAATGTGCATCCATCTTGTCCCTCTCCACAGTGGCTCCACATTGCCCCAGAGGTGAGGTCCAAGCTTTGCAGCCTGACACCAGAGGCTCTGTGGCTTCTGCCCTTCCCAAGCCTCAGTCTCACAGCAGAAGGTCCTCTGGGATATGCTGATTTATGCCCTGGGGGTCTTTGCATGAGCAGTTCCCTGCTTGGGATGGCCCTGGCCATTCTCCCAATTTGATATCAATTCTTCTCTCTCTACTACTGAAAAGATATTTGTACTTATCTAGTGAATCTGAAGATACATATAAACATACAACTCAGCAATTCCACTCCCAGGTTCTGGGAGTGTCTTCTGCACATATGTACCAGCAAACATGTAAGAGTAATGTAAATATCCAAAACAGAATGGATAAATTACACTATCATGTATTTATACAGTGGAATAGTGTATAGTAATGACGATGAACAAACTAACAGCTATCAGCATCAACATGCATGGATCTCAAAAACAACGTTATGTGAGGGGCACCTGGGTGGCTCAGTCGGTTAAGGGTCCGACTCTTGATTTTGGCTCAGGTCATGATCTCAGGGTCATGAGATCAAGCCCCAATGTTGGGCTCTGTGCTGGGCATGGATCCTGCTTGAGATTCTTTCTCTCCCTCTGCCCCTCCCCCTAACTAAAACAAAAACAACCAAAAAACGTTATGTGAAAAAGACAGAATAGAAAAAAAAAAAATCTATGGTATGAGCCCACTTAAATAAACGTCATAAAATAGACAAACTAAACTATTATTCAAGAACGCATACACAACACAGGTGCCAAAACTATAAAGAGAAACAAGAAAATAATCATTACAAAAGTTACCTGAAGGTGGTTCCTTCAGAGGTACAATAAGGAATACAATTAGTGAGGGGACACACTGGAGGCTTCTGGTATCAGTCTATTATGGCAACTACCTAGGTGTTCACTTTGTAATTATTCTCTCAACTGTACCTGTATTTTAATACACAATTCCATATTATGGAATTTAATCTTATGTTTTTAAAAGTCCTACCTTTCTCAATTGTACCTCAATAAAACAGGGGGAAAAAAAAATCCTCCTCTTTCTTCTAAAATCCTACCCTTAAGTGCCTCACCCAGAGGCTTAGATGTGCTTCTCTCCCAGCCAGCTGCCCAGGAGCCCTGTGGATAGATGACTGCTTCATTCCCTCTGTAAAGCAAAGCAGTCCAGGCACCTAAAAGCTCAAATCAAATGGCCCACCCTAAGAATAAAGGGATTCTGTATTTTAAAAAGTGCCGGGGTGATAAACTGTTAAGGGTTCTGAGACATTTTACTGGTTTCTAAGAAGCTTTATGCCTAATGGTATTCATCCCTAGAGCTGGTTTGGACACATTCCTACCCAGTAGAAAATGATCTTATTTTGAAATCTTGGCTGAGTTTGCACTGGAGTACAATCCAAAATAGTGACCTTCTAGCACCAAGTAAGGAAAAAATTTCAACCTAGCTTTTTCACCCGGGGAACTGAATTCCATTTGTGTTCTGTGAATCTATACCTGACTCTGCAACCCCCATTCTTCACAGCAGCCCCAGGTGATAACAGCATTGCTTTAAACAGCATACACTTCCACTGGCACCCATCCTGGCCATCAGGACACTTCCTTAATTTCAATGTCACCACACTCCTGGTTTTCCTCCTACCCATCTGGTCACTCCTGTCTCTTCTGCCACCTTCTCCTCTCCCTGGAGGAGAGCATCCCTGAGATCCCAGGTCCTCTTCTCACTCTGAACACTCCTTTAGGTGAGCTCATCTGCTACCAAGGATCCCAGAGCCCAGGCCTCCCCTCAAGCTCACGACCCAAACTTAACTTTCCATGTCCAGGAAAACTTACTCTTCACCCAAGAGGAGGATGCTATTTTCTTTCATTCTTCACCAGCTCCAAACAGCCCACATCATGCCCCAGCTACCACACCAGAACCTACATCATTCATGACCCTCCTCCCTTTTCCCCTCTCCACTGATCAAACACCAGATTTGTGGGTCCCACATGTTAAAGGACCTCCCTGCTGTGGTCCTACCAGGCTACACACAGCTAGGGAATTTCAACTAGTTTACTCCAACACCTGTCTTTTCAATCCAATCACCACACAATAACAAAATGATTTTTTTTTTTTTTTAAAGAGAGAAAGAGTGCGAGCAGGCAGGAAGGGGGAAAGGGGGAGAGAGAGAATCTAAAGCAGGCTCAGCACTGGGCATAGCCCAATGCGGAGCTCCATCTCACGCCCTGAGATCACGACCTGAGGTGAAATCAAGAGTCAGATCCTTAACTGACTGAGCCACCCAGGGGCCCCACCAAACTGATCATCTTAAAAGGGAATCTGATACTGCCACACCCTTGCTTAAGTTCCCTTTGAAGGCTGGTGTTAGTAAAGTCCTGTATTCACCAAGGCCCTGAGGTCAAGCCTGACCTAGCCCTCCCTGCTCTCCAGAGGCCACCACCTTTCTTCAGGTAGCCCCTCTGCCAAGTCCCTTCCCACAGCCCTCACCAGCCCTCAGGGCCTTGAACAGACTATTTCCATGGACTTGACCACCCTCCTCCCACTACCCACAGTCCATCAGGAAACATTCCTGAAAACCACAGCCTGGGCAAAAGTTCTCCTGCCCTACCTTCTCCCAGGAGCGTTCTTTCCAGCTGTAGCACTTCTCTCACTGCATGTATGATAGATAAATTGACACAGTGCACCAAAAAGGCAAACAAATCCACTGGCTTGCCAAGTAAAGGTGGTGGAAAAAGACTGCCTTTCATTTCCACCATGAACTAATTTGCTATGATTTAAGCTCATTATCTAAATAGGGCCAGCACAAATCTAATCACAGCTAACCAAGAGAGATTAATCAGATTGAAACCCTGACTAAATTCACCTATCTGGGGATTTCTCTCTGCACACCCTCTCAGCCCCCTCTCTACAGCTCTGGCCACCACCTCCCACACATGAAAGGAGGAAGGTCCAGTCTGAGGCTGGGCAAACTAAAACTGTCTCTGATACCCTCTCTGGTGAGGAAGCACAGACCTCACCAGACCAACTCCGTAGATGTCTGAGCCACCAGGCCACAAAGAGAATCAACTGAGCATGTGTTTAGCTTACATAGTTATCTAATTACTGAAATGTTTTAAAATGAGAATATTCCAAATTCATTATGACTTCTTTCCAGCATAGCAATGATGAGCTGGGGCTAAGTGTCATCTGTCATTTAGCAAAGAACTTACAATGATGTTTTCCATATACTCACCTGCTTCACTACCTGCCCAGGCCCCACAAGTATCTTACTTGTTCCTTCTGATATAAACGATTAAAGCAACATATTTCTTCAAAAGGAAAATACATTCATAGCACATTCCACAAAATCACCATCATATGGGAAAGACAGTGCTGCTCCTATTATTAGTTCCTATTACTACTGCAGGTTGGGATCTCCACCCACAGTAAAGAAGCCAAAACACTCCCCTTGATAAAACTCTTCATACTAACACTCCACCAGACTAAATTTAGGCTGCAGGTCTAGAGAAGCTGCAAATCCAACTCTTGGTTCCTGCCATTTTGATGGCCTCATTCTCAGAAACAGGCCAACTGTTCTCTAAAGCTTTGAGATTTTTACTTCCTCTCACACTAAGAGGTCTGCCTAACCCCTCAACCAGTTCATCCAACCAGCTAATCCCATAAGGAGGCATGGCCGCAATCCTGCAACCCCAATGAGCCCAGCATCGCAAATAACCTAAGCAGACCCAGGAAATGTGAAATAATGACTTAGGCCACAAGGACAGGACCTACTTCATCAATGCCTTCCTCCTCATGAAAGGTCCGAGACAAAAAGAGGCAGGTCATGGTGTCTTCCTTCTTGGTGAAGAGTATAAAATCCTTCCCAATGCGCATTGAGCCCCTGAAAGGAAAGCAGAAATGGGTTATTCTCCCAGGGAGATTCTGAATCCCAGGGATTCAAAAACTCACCTGAAAAGGGAGCAAATTCACCCTCTGGACATGACTGAAACTGCCTTTGGAGGGCTCTCCTCAAGACCTCCCTCCCTCGCAGGACCCTGAGATGAGGTCCACAGTCCTCATTCCCTCTGCTCTTCCATCAGCCTTCATTGTTCCTCACAACCAGCCTGACCACACTTACCCACCGTACAAGGCTTCCCCACCACCCTTCTAGGGCACATTCACCACAGATCGTCAGCCCCAAGTTAACTCCTGACCTGCTGCACGTGGTAAGTAACCCTGCTGCCCATGCACCAGGTTCATCTCAGCTACACAAGGACTGCTGTACTCTTTGTGCCACCATCAGATTTCTCTCCAGGAACCGATACCTTCAACACATCATCGTCCATGCTGACCACATCCAGTACCCATCTGATCCTTCCTTTGTTGACACAAACTCCATTCTCATTCACTCATCAAATGGCAGTACCATCAAGGGCACAGCCCACAGTCTACACTCATAAATCCTCAAAAAAAAAAAAAAAAACAACCAGTATGATCCCAAGGCTCAGCCAAATATAGGGGCTAACCATACACAACATAATTCTTAATCATAGTTTTTAAGAAGGCCTATAATTGGCTCATGTCCTGTAACTACAACCATCTTCTGTCTCAAAATTGTTTCGCCACCTCAAGCTCCTTATGACAGAGGCAGTCCCTGCTTTTAGATGCAACTGGTTTCTGGGAAATGTGCCTTGAGGCTGGGTTCCACAATGCAAAAGTCCGAATGGAATCAACTGCTTCCTTCCTGTTTGGCCACATTAAATCATCTGAGAAACAGGCAAGGACAGGCCTTTCTGGGCAACATGGAACAGGGCAGAAGTTCCAACAGTTCATTGCCCAGTGAACAATGGGGCTGTTTAGCTCCTTTCTTCTGAGCAACTTCTGGGGCTTTATGGCTATTATCTCATTAGTCTTCATAATACCCCAGGGAGGGGATGGCAGTGGGAAGCCTCATTACTCTCTTGTATGTACAAATACAAACCAGGCTGGCATGCCAAACACACAAATGAATGCCATGTCCCATTTCCCCAAATGCTCAGGAAAAAGCCCAGGACACTATCCAGAGACACTTGGCAGCGGGGGCTGCCAAGTTCTCTTTCTCGTCCTCCAGTTCCCAAGATGCTGGCAATGCTGCTTCCTCTGACAGATTTCACAGCCCTCCTCCTTCTTCCCTGAAGCTTATGGATAGCAAAATGAGGCATATTACCTTGCCTTCTGTCAAAGCTTGCTCTTGCCCTAATTTGGCAAAAACTCCACTTTGTGCTTCTTTCTTCCCTCTTTGATCCTGACCTTGGAGGCTAAAGAGCAACAACCCCCAAAATGCCACCTCTCTGCTGGCTTCCTTGCTTCTCAGCCCTATTCTCACCATAAATCACTCCCTCTTGAAACTCTTATTCAACTTCTGGTTTCAAAATAAATATACTCTCAACACTAGATGGCTCCAACTCAATGCATCCTTTACAAAACTCATTCTACTAAAATATGCTAATGACAACACTCTCAACTTCCTGGTCTTCTAAGTACTGTCAGAGTCATATTTAGTTTGCTCCTCAAACTTGCTCTGTAAGGGAGAATGTCAGAGAATAGAACCTCATTTTCTAAATTAGAAAACAGATATTCAGAGACGTGAAACAGCTTGCCTGCGGCCACAAAACTGCTAAGACCAGCTAGGAGGAGGCTGGCCTACAATCCAGATGGGAAGTCAGGACTTCTTTCGCACTGACTCTAAGAGACCTCAGTTATTGAGATTTAGGGCACCAGCAACAGAATCACTTGGGGAACCTAACCTATAGATTCCTAGACCCTACCCTAGACAAGGAATCGGCTAATGGAAAGAACAAAGGAGAAATAAAATAAGAATCCAGAAACTAGTCTAAGGCTCTCAAAGCAATGACAGCATTTAATCCTTAACTTACTTGGCACGTATTATAATCCCAATTTACAAAGGAGGAAACTGAGGCTCAGAGAAATAATTAAGTGGCTGAGGTGAGATTTGAATTTTAATTTGCATGACTGAAGTGAGATGGATAACAGCTCCGGCTTTGCAGTCAAAAGGACCTGGTTCATATCTCAGCTCTACACTCAGGCAAATATTTGTATACCTCTGGGCAAATCACTTCATCCCCATAAATCTCAATTTCCTCATTGGAAAATGAGAATAAAAAACGAGAATAGGGGCGCCTCGGTGGCTCAGTCATTAAGCATCTGCCTTTGGCTCAGGTCATGATCCCAGAGTCTTGGGATCAGCTCCGTATCAGGCTCTCTGCTCAGCGGGGAGCCTGCTTCTCCCTCTCCCACTCCCCCTGCTATGTTCCTTCTCTTGCTTTGTCTCTCTCTGTCAAATAAATAAATAAAATCTTTACAAAAAAAAAAATGAGAATAGGAGGATTAAATAAGATCATCCAAGTAAAGTTTTTAGCACAGTGCCTGGCACATGGTAAGTACTTGTTATTACCATTTGGTTTCTCCCCTGAAAGACAAATCAGAAAGTCCAGATACCATGTCTCCGATGTCTTTGGAAGCACTCTCCTTCCCTGCCACACATCTAAAGCATGCTGCATGTGAGGGACAACTGATACTGTTGACTGACCAAAACACACCCTCTAACAAAACAACATGTTTCCACAGCAAGACTGGAAACGTGACTCAGAATTCCATTTGTACAAACTCCAATTCCACTAAATCTTATTCCATCCAAAGGGATGTACAGCTGGAAGTGAGCATTTCAGAAATAGAAACCTTTCTCTTGGGGCTTCACTCAAAATCAGAACAACACATTCCAAACAACAAACAAGTGGGAACCAAGGGCTGAGAAAGAAGTCCCAAAGGATCTGAAGACATTAGGTAGGTCCCTGCTACAGGGTCTAGCAGGACACAGAAGTGGAGACCATGTCCTCTGAGAGGGAAGGTTCAGATCTCTATTACTCACTCTGGATCCCCAGTGCCTGGCTCAAAACATGACATGTGGCAGGTGCTCAAGGCACACTGCTGTGCCATGAAGCAACCCCTTTAGCATCTCAGATACATCCTAACCCCACAAAACAACCACTTGCATCCTCAAACCACAGGGTAAAAATAAGAATTTTCATCAGGAGGAGAAATGCGGTTCCAGAGCACATTGCCAAGAGAAACCTACAGCTTGCTTCTCTCACCCCAAATGTTTAGGATGTTCATTCTTTCAATCTGTAAGGAAAACTTGGCTGAACGACAGTTGCTAAGTCTTAAAACTACTTCTTTCTGACTTAATTCTTCTGCTCCAGAATTACACTAATGGAAGGATAAGGAATACAAAGTTTTCATTGGACAACAGCAGGAGAGTACTGCTTGATTCTGTATTGAGTCCTACAACAGGCTTCTAGTATACTTACGATTTTAACCCATTCCCATATTGCCCAATCTGGGTGGACTCAGGTGTTCGTTTGGCCGACTTCCCAAACTGGATCACACTGGCAGCATCACCTGAAGTGACAGGCACAAAAGAAAGTGAAGCATTTGCATTTCTTCCCCAGGATCCTCAAAAATAAAAGGTCTGAGCCTTGTTAAATCTAAGCAGGGCTGTGTGTCTACTAAAACCACTTCCCAAGGAAATTCAGAACCATGAGGCAAATGGAGACAACCTCTGACTGGCCTGTTAGTACCACCATCACTATGAGTTTATTCTGTTACCAGAACATGGTATGAAGGCTGAGGGAGCCCTCTGTAGTTCCAGCTCCAGGATGTTGTGCAAGCTGATAAATACAATGTCAAAAGACAGGTAATTTGACTGACTTCAGGTTGCCATTCAGATCCTATCTCCCATGCTAGGACAAGACCTGGCAAATCCATTAGTGGAATTAAGCCTGAGATGTTGCAACAGACCTCTCTCTCTCTCCAGGTGGATCTTCTAATCACAATAGTAAGGCAACAGAAAAACAACACAATGAGTATTTAATAAAAAGAGTTACATCCTCCCCAAAAGAAGAAATCTCATCACTTACTTGGATCCATTCCTGCTCCATCATCCAAAAAGCAAAGCATAAATCCTCCTCGAAGGTCCTCTCGCCTTTCTGTAAAAGAAGCAGTTGCCATTACTGGGTAGTTACCTACCAGAGGATAGCAACATGGGTAAGGTCAAAAGGTGGATCAATGTGACATTTGGCCCAAAAAGGTTAGGACAAACCTAGCTCCTCCTTCTAATAGTCTATTAGAAGGTAAATGTCAGGGTCCTTGAGGGTGGATATTACTATCAAAGGTTCTCCAATGCTTTCTAGTTAATGACAAAGATTGACAGAATCTTTGAGGGCAGGAAATACCTGGTCCACTAGACTAACCACCAAGCAGGAAGCCCAACTCAGGGCTCGATTCCAGGACTCTGAGGTCATGATCTGAGTCCACTGTCTGAGTCACCCAGGCACCCCTGAATATGCATGTATTTAATGCAAACCTCAATCATCCTTCTGCCTCTTCCACCTGGATTACTTCCACCTCTGCCCTCTGCTATGGATCCCAAGTCACTAAAGTACTCCAACTACAACACACTGTACCTTATCAACACTGCTCAAATTCAACAGGGCATCTCCTTTGTGGGTTAAATCTGGGGTAGCCTTCAGACAATGTGATCAAGCCAGACATGCTGTGGGCACAGTGGTGGCAGTTACTATCCAGAGAAATTGCTAAGTCTGTGTATGACTATCCCCAGGCTAACCTGAATTTCTGGGTTATCTGTATTCACTGCCACACCCTCTGCTTGTTATGGGTACCTGAAATGGCTCCCTAACCTAGGAATATGATGGCGCAAGATGCAGTGAGAACTGCCTGGTTCCCAGCTGGACTTGCTCGACTAGAAGGAAGAATAGTCTTTTGACAAGAGAATTAAGTCCTTTGACAGTGCAGCCATGGCAGGGCTTCTTGGTTGACAGAAGGGGAACAAAACAAACTGGCTGCCATTTCAGTGGGTGGAAGAACCTCTTCTTTCAGTAGCTGTCTTCTGTAGTAGCAGGTGGTTACTCAAAGTAGTATGGGTCTAAGCATGTCACAAACACTAAAGAAGAGATTCCCAAATAGGGAAAGGGGCAATATTGGAGTTTCCAAGGTGCCTATGACCAATGATGAGGATTATGCTGACAAAGGAGAACAGCACAGGCTTTGGAATCAGGAGATCACTCCTACTAAAAGGAAAAAGTCTACGTAAGGGACTATAGGAACAAGCCCAAGGCTGCTTTGAAGCCTAGTTCCCGAGTACTTTTTTGTTCCCCGCAAGCTGTGGTTCACCAACTTTATAGAACTATCAAAGCTGAGGAATCCCAGTTTAAAATACTCTTTGTCCTCCCCTTGGGCTAAAGATTCAAATGAGTCATGATCACCTTCTGTTAAATTGACTAGTTAGTGTAATTTAAAACGCTATTTTAAAAGTACTATAAACCACAGATTTTCAAGTATCACTAAGTGTTCAGGAAGCTGACTTTGCTGAAACATTAATAACAAGTGCTTCTTAAAATTTCAAGAGCAAGGACCTTCCTATTAAGTACTTACGGTAGATAAGAAAATTTCTCCTTATGGCAGTGCCTCTTATCAGTGTGGAGAATCCAAGTGAGATCTAGTAAGCATGAGCAAGTGCAAGAAAAGTGCAAAAAGGCTTCAAAGTTTCCTTCTGGAGGAAGCAAAGTATTACATGGAGACTCAAACTAGGACAGATACAGAGCATGGTAAAAAAAAAAAAAAAAAAGTGTTCTAAATCTAGCCAAGAGCCATTTGTTGTACACTTCAGCCATAAAACATTCACGAAGATTCTGCGTTAGAATCTAGAAATTGGTTCAAGCAAACTAGCATTCCTTGAACACTATATAGGAAATTACTGCAAGGCCCCTGTGTTTGTTAGGTACTCATCACTTAACAGTGGGCCTGAGATCCCTTCCTTGTTCAAGGACTTCATTTAAATATTTTTCATATGGTTTACAAGGGTAAAAGTTCCACCAGTAGAGGATCCTCCTGGCCACATAGTGATCAACAGCCTGTAAGCAGCTAGTAGTACCCAAGTCCACATGATCATATGCAATACTGCCTCAGGGCCAAGAGAGACTAGCTGACACAGCAGTCACTTCTTCAACTTTGGAAACAGGCAATGTGGCATCATCACCTGGCTACAATGCTTATCCTCATCACTTGTTTATTCAATGAGTATTTACTGAGCACTTCCTCTGTTCCTGGCTCTGTGATGAAGACAGTAGTAAACAACGCAGATATGACCACTGCCTTCATGGAGCTTACAGTCCAGTAGATGCTACTCTCTGTAGCAAATCAGTTAAGCAGAAGGGTTTAAGCAGGAGACTAAGAGTAACAGCTAGAGCAAAATGTATTGTGCGTTAAGAATCAGTTGAAGAGCTTGTTAAAAATACAGATTTTGGGCTCTACCCCAGAAAGTCTGTGTGGGTCTGAGGAGGTACCTGAGAATTTGATTTCTAACAAGCTCCCAGGGGATGCTCACTCTGTGAGAAGCACTAAGCTAGAGAATCAAGAACCAGAAGGTTTCCCGGCTCAAAACTATCTCCCTAGACATCCCACCAGTTAGAGATGTATTCCTAACACCTGATATTTACTTATCAGTCAGTTGAGTGTTATCTGAAGCCTCCAAGCAAAGGACTTTGATGAAGGAGGGGGAGTTCTAGAGAGAGGAGAGTCTAAGCAGCTGGGTGTTGTATGCTCCCACTCCCATCATACATCTTGGAAGCAAGAAAGGGAAGGCAAAGCCAAACTGCCTTCTTTACAGTTGTGCTTCAGATCCTAGTAGCAGCTATGTAAGATTATCAGAATGAGTTTGGAAGGATGCACATCTAAGTTCCCCCCAATATGACCAAGTCTGGCTTTTCCAAATTAGCCTGACATCATCCCATCATCCAACTCCCACTGGGGAGAAGACAGAAAGAAGCAGAAGAAATGTAAAATGGAACTGGTAAGGCAAAAATCAGAGATGAAAAATAATATTGTCCTTAACAGAAGTTGTAATAAAATAATATCCAAGTTCTTCATTGTTCTTTTGCAATCTGAGCAGTATTCATTTCAGTTACATGTGCTCTAATTTTCCACTTACTAACCATGGTTTAGCATCACAAAGGGGATCTTTCTTTGAGGAATGGCATTGCCTATCCAAGGAAGTCAAGAAAGTCAGTAAAAATACGGAGTCTACTTCTGACAGGCACATTACTGTCTGGCCCCATCTAATAGGAATGCTTTGGGTAAATGAATACCTCCACACTTTAAGATTCTGGTTCCTTTGTCACCCTTCTTTTAAAACATGACTTTTTAAGGGCGTCTGGGTGGTTCAGTTGGTTAAGCGACTGCCTTCGGCTCAGGTCATAATCCCAGGGTCCTGGGATCGAGCCCCACATCAGGCTCCCTGCTCCTCAGGGAGCCTGCTTCTCCTGGAGCCTGCTTCTCCCTCTCCCTCTGTCTGCCACTCCACCTGCTTGTGCTCTCTCTCTGTGTCAAATAAATAAATAAAATCTTTAAAAAAATAAAACATGACTTTTTAGTGAATTCAAACTAAATCTGATGTTTAAGGGGATTTCCAAGCTCAGTATCACTCTAGTCTCAAAATGGGAGACAGGAAAATACTTTCCCCCGTATACTGACAATAAGAACTTTATAGTATTAGGATATTACTAATTTTATCATTGTACTCATAAAATGAGGTTGCTTTTATTCCTCCTGTTGAATGTGTTAACAAGGCTCTGAGGTAGAAAAGTGTGAAGTTGGGGCACCCAGGTGACTCAGTCGTTAAGCGTCTGCCTTCAGCTCGGGTCATGATCCCAGGGTCCTGGGATCAAGCCCCGCATCGGGCTCCCTGCTCCGTGGGAAGCCTGATTCTCCCTCTCCCACTCTCCCTGCCTGTGTTCCCTCTCTCGCTGTGTCTGTCAAATAAATAAAATCTTAAAAAAAAAAAAAGAAAGCAAAAAAGAGAAGTGTGAAGTTAAAGATATCTCAGCCAAGATACCCAATCTTGAGGTATTTGGAGTAAATCAAGTCTTTTCCTAAAATGCTGTAGTGCGGGGCGCCTGGATGGCGCAGTTGTTAAGCGTCTGCCTTCGGCTCAGGTCATGATCCCAGGGTCCTGGGATCGAGCCCCGCATCGGGCTCCATGCTCTGCAGGAGGCCTGCTTCTCCCTCTCACCCCCACTGCTTGTGTTCCCTCTCTCACTGTCTCTCTCTCTGTCAAATAAATAAAATCTTAAAAAAATAAAAATAAAATGCTGTAGTGCTTAGTACTTCTAACACACCACTTAATCCTTAACTGCCTTGACAGTTCCCTCAAGATCAAGTTATTGTTCTCTAATCATCTGCAGAGTGCTGTCTTCTCCAATTTAAGACTTAAATTCTCTAATGAGAACTTAGAAAAGGTCCCATCACATCCTCTCTGGACTCTTCCCAAAGCACAACAGGAGTAAGAACACTGAGCACAGAATAAATGCACAGTGGTCCTTTTTCATTTAAATTGAAATCCAACTGTTCTGTTGCATTCTGAGTGTAAAGGATTAAATTTTCTTAGTGAAATTCACCCACCAAAGGTGGTAGGAGGGGGCAGGGATGACCTGTGTTTAAAATGCTTCTTTCAAGTAGACAGACTCAGCTATGATGATTTGTCCTTTCAACATCACTTGGAGTAGAGGCCCATTCTCTGCTTTACCATCTGTGCAACGATTAAAACAACATTTCTTTCAGAGGTAGCTGTAATTGCTCCTCATTAAAGTACACTTGAGATGTAAGATACACACGGTGACTTGGGAACGGTGCCTCCATTTGGCCTTAGGGTTTAAGTAACAATCTTCTAACACTCTTTTGCTGTGCCTCTGAGATGTATCCCTAACACCTGATATTTACTTTGTTCCTTTCCTCTAAAAATAAAAGAAGTCTTATTTTCACCACTTTGGCATAGCCTTTTGAGCAGAAGGCTTTCAGAATTTAAGCAGTACAGCTGACTTTCAGCGGTTCTGAATTTTCTTTGCTCCAAAGTATATCAGGGATGAGAAAGTCATCCTATATGGGAGATTCTTCATAAAATTATGTAACATTAGAGGTTCTGAAAATTACCTCTTAGTTGTTTGCTTGTTCCCATTTATGAAATGAGTCCACAAAGATGGGTTATTTGGTAAGTGTATATTCCCACAAAAACACTTCAGTCTTCTTAGAAGCTAGTCAATGTTATTCAAGACTTTAGAAAAGTTTGTCAGAGACATGTATTATGCTAGCCAAATTGGATTTAAAAGCCATCTTCCTCTATTTTGCTTCCAAATTTCTAGCATTCAAATGACCAAAAACATGCTGGTACATACACTTAACAGGCAGAAAACAAACTAAAAATAATAATTTAAAATTTTAAAAAAGCCAGTGATGATGACTAAGAATTCTTCCACTATTGCACCCACTCCAGAAAAAAAGAATCTTACTACCAAACAGCAGAACCAATTAAATAAGCAAAACAGGAAACACCGTTAATAACATCTTTAAATTCCAGGGTGCCTGGGTCGTTCATTTGGCTGAGCATCTGACTTTGGCTCGCATCATGATCTCAGGGTCCTGGGATCAAGCCCTGCGTCAGGCTCCCTACTCAGCACGGAGTCTGCCTGTCCCTCTCTCTCTGTCTCTCCCCCCACTCGTGCACTCTCTCTCTCTAATAAATAAAATCTTAAAAAAAAAAAAACAAAACTTTAAATTCCAAGCAAAGCAGCTGTCCTCCTGACACCTGTCTGAGAACATCTCCTTAGCAAACCCCAGTGCCAACCCAGTTAACCCAAATGTTTTATCCAACTGACACCAGCAACTCTCTAAGTCCTCACTGAGGTTGCAGAGAGAGAAACTGGCCTCCAACAAGATCTCTCTTTGGCTCCAGGTACCAGTAAAATCAACCAATCAGTAATCCAACCAGTAAAATCACCAGTACTTGGTCACTTCACTCCCCGCTACTCTACTCCATCATCCCATAAATCTCTCAGTGGCTATCTAAATAGATCTCTAGGGGGCACCTGGGTGGCTCAGGTCATGATCCCAGGGTCCTGGGATGGAGCACTGAGTCAGGCTCCCTGCTCAGCGGGGGGCCTGCTTCTCCCTCTCCTCCCTCCTCGTGCTATCTCTCTCTCTCTCTCAAGTAAATAAAATCTTTAATAAATAAATAGATAGATCTATAGATCTGGGAACCACATGTTAGCTTCCTTACACCAATATTCTTGGTTTCTATTACATGCCTGACCAGAGCTGCCCTATTTCTACCCTAGGACCTGGAGTAATTGTGCCATCTCCCCAGGCTCTTAGGCATTTCTTCTTAGGCATAGCCATACATGCATTCAAAGAACTGAACATCAGAAGAAAGGACTGACGTCTGACTTACCTGCATAAATATCTATTCTGGTGGCATCCGCATCTCTGCAAAAGAAATCAAGATCGAATGAAATATGAAATATCAACCATCAAAATACATAGTATTTTAAGCGGGATGCATACTATTTTAAGTCTATTTTTAGGAAGTCACATAGAAATTCTGTATCCATTAAAGTACCCTTTCATACTTGGCAACACTATTTTCCTTATGTGTCTGTGAAACAGTTCTGAAGCTCTAAATTATTTAAAATAACCACACAACACATAGGGTCTGGATACATCTTTTTAATATGGATTTCAGATTTCACAGTAAAAATATCTAGAGAATGAAAGAACATTCCCCTTTACACACTAAAAAATGACTCACAACTATGTTTCTCTCACTAATTTGATAGCCATCATAAAAAAATGTTCCAATAACTTGTCCATTTTTCTTTTGTACAAGATACTGAAAAGAAAGAAAAACATCATCTGCCACAAAACCTATGAAAAATAAGGTCCCATAGTATATACATTACAGTCAGCAGACTAATTGACAAGCCTGTAATCTTACCCTCCCTAACCTAGAAAGGAAGTTGGGGCACTCCATTAGACTCCAACCACCAGCTGAAATACAAGTTCAGTCATCAATAAAGGCTTGAAACTAATCTAGTCCAATTCTGCCAACTGCAAGGAAGGAAAATGAGGCACAGAGAGTTTCTTAAGTTCTAAATGCAAAAAACCCACTCAAATCCATACAGTTCTACATGTACCTATTCCCAAAAACATAAAAACAGTTTCAAATATGAGGAAGACGAGCAATATGTGTGCATGACCAGGAACACATACTCCCAGGAATCTCCAGTTCACCATATGATATACAAAAAGGCAGTCTGCCACAGCACACCATGGTCTCACTAAGCTAACAAGTGGCAAATTCAAACATCGTTCCATTAAGCTACAGCATTTTTAAATTAAATACAAAAATTATGAGTCAACCAGGATTCAAACAGAATGGGGAGTTTTCTGATTAAACAGCTGTTAACAAGCACACTTCCATAAATAGTCCGGTGAATAACAATAAAACTAATAATGGTACAGGATTATAGTATAAGATATAGATACAGACAGAAAATTACCGGCAAGCTCATTAATTGGGGATGTTTAGAAAGCACTTCTACCAAAAAAAAAAAGTACTTCTCTCCACTCTTACCCTCTTCCTTCATTATTCATCAACACTTGGTCAATAAGCAATGTGTCTGAATTTTATCTTTGCATTCAAAAACAAAACTGATATAATATTTTCATAATTATTAACAGAATCTTGATTTGGATGTTGCTATTTATCTTTGAGCCAACCCAAACTTCTTTCCAGTCCTACACAGTAACATTTATAAACTTCCATCACTAAGAACTTAGTATAACACAGTGCTAAAGAATTTCTTCCAAGCACAGCTGCTAACAATAGAAGACACTTTGATCAATTGGAGTCACTGACCTTAAAATATACATTCTGAGATCACACATAACTGTGGCATAATTTTAAAAACTTTAAATGGTGTACTGTCCTGACAGCACAAATTAAATCAGCTCTTGCCTGTCCCATTAACTTGACTCCTAAGTTTCTATCTTAATTCCCTGCATTTCACTACAATTACCTTGCTCTAATACACAAGGGAAGGTAACTTTGGGGGTCATAAGCTCATTATTTTTAGGAAAAGTAAATTAAAGTCAATCAAGTAAACTAGAATTATCAACTAACTTGCTATTAAAAATACTTTTGGGGCAGGGCACCTGGGTGGCTCAGATGGTTAAGCGTCTGCCTTCAGCTCAGGTCGTGATCCCAGGGTCCTGGGATCGAGTCCCGCATCAGGTTCCCTGCTCCTTGGGAACCTGCTTCTCCCTCTGCTTCTCTCTCTCTCTCTGTCTCTCATGAATAAATAAAATCTTTAAAAAAAAAAAAATACTTTTGGGGTAAGAGACCTCTTAGGAGTGAATTACAGCTGCTTACAGAATTGTCTTCCTCCCACGTCTTCAGAAGCAAAGGTCACAACGACCCAGAAAGTTTTCAAGCACAGACTGTATGCCTAAAGACTACATACCTTGCATTATCAACCAGTTCAGCAAGAGCACCAAACAAGAATTCATGAGTAGTTCTGAAATGATAAATACTAAGAATCAGCAGAAGAATTACAGAATTGAACTATGACACCTACTAAGGTTATAAAATGTTAGTTTTTAGGAAAAAAAAATCTAAAGTTGCCATTTGTGCTATCAATTCATGCTACTGAAATTTAAACTTCCCCACAATTAGAGCCTTTTAAAAGCCTTCTAAGCCCCCTCAAATGTTAATCAGGTTCTGCTATCTACTCATGTTTATTCTTACTATGTTAAGAAACCCACTGTGAAGCATTAAGATTTCTATGTATACTACAGATTTAAAAGCAGTTTTTTTCACTACTCATGTTCTGCCTAGAAAAATGTGTGTTTTATTTTTCACTGCCTTAACCAGCTATCAGTTTCTGCATATCTCTAAGCATGCTTAATGGACAACTTGCTAACATTTTGCTTTACCAATACTTGCATATTATCCATTGGTGAAAAAAGAAAACCCATTTGTTTCTATGCAGTTTGTAAGCAAAATATTCCATATGAAAGTGAGGAGAAAGGAGAGAATAATCTATTTCCCAACATTTCAATTCTAGCTAAAAACCACCTTCTCCACATTAAAGAAAGGAATCGAAGACCCTCTTGTACATATTCCTCTTAGAAGGACAGCTTGGTGTATTCTTCCTAGAGTCCCTGATAGCCCCTTTAAGAAGGTCATCTCTCTTCCAGGAGACTGCTCAAAGTTGGGTTAGGTAAATACACAATTACCATAGTATTCAGAACTCAATAAATATGATATTTATGCAGAAGATGAATCCTTAAATTCTTTCTCCATTTACATTCTCTTTAATTTGTGCTGTTTCCCATAATAGTCCTCTTTATATAAAAGTTAGGATGTGTTCATCTAGAAACCCTGACTTTTGTTAAAAGAATAAAATAAAATAAAATCATTAACCTAGATAATACATTACCATCATCAATTTTTCAAAAATAAATTCCTGATTTTTTCGTATACCATTTCAGCCACTAGACAAAGTGAAAATTTCTGAAAATTTAGAATATACCAAAATTAAATAACCAGTGTCTAGGATCTCTGATCACTTACTATATCATGTAAAACAAAAAACAAATTGTAAAATATTTGCTTATAAAATAAACACCCAAAACTGAACTGTCCAGAACACTGGTTTTCCCTCCTCAAGTAAACCGACATATTTTTACAATAGCAAATTCTGAATTAAAACTACTAGTTATTAAAAAAAAAGAAGAAGAAAAAGCGGTTCTTGGAATTTTAGGAGTAACTTTTTCCCATGAGATCAGTGAATATTATCTGCTGCTAATCCAAAGGTGGCACCAACAAATATGTCTTAGCAAAAAGTAGAAATTTATCTCCAACAAATTCTTCTGACCAAAATCCAATCCTTAACTATTTTACATGAAAAGAAAAACAATTTCTAAGAGAAAAACCTGCATAAAACAGATCTTTAATTAAAAAATTCACATCTCTATAATCATCTTAAATTCTTCAAATTATCAGTTGAAGAAACAGAAGTATTTTGTAGATTACTACACTAAAGAAATAGGGAGAAATGTTAGAAAATTAAGGTGATTTGCTAAAGGTAATATAAATTAAATCTAACATTTGCTCTCAAGCTTTTAACCATTTTCCTGTCTTAGAAACTTACAAAGTGAGTTAGCTTTCTATACTCTAAATGTTTTTAATTTTGAGAACAGTTAGATAAAAATATAAAATAACAGGACACCTGGGTGGCTCAGTCGGTTAAGCCTCTGCCTTCGGCTCAGGTCATGATCCCAGGGTCCTGGGATCGAGTCCCACATCGGGCTCCTTGCT